TTTCAACTTAACTGATTATTTTTTTATGCCTCAAGAAACTATAGAGATTTTAGCAGTGGTTTCTAGAATGTCTGTATTTATGTGGTGAGGTATGTGAAAGCTAATTGTAATGATGATTTCCAGATGGGGATCCCAAAGAACATAGAACCAATAAAAAATTAAATGTTACAACATCTGAGAGAAGGTCCTACTTGCAGTTACTACATCTGATTTAACAAAATCTGAAAATTCTGGAAAATAGTTATTCAAATTTACATAACAGTTTTCAATATGATGGAAACTAAACTCCAGACATTTGAATTCCTATATTGCACTTTAATGGCCAAATAACATTGACTCTTTCCTTACGCCCTTGAAGTCATTGCCTGTAATTCCTCTATGTCCTATAGGATTTATACTATTCCTCAATATTGTAGTAGGGCATCTGATTCTAGAGAAGGATTCAGTTTATTGCATTTTGAAGAAGATGTGAAAAAATTAGAGTGGAACAGAAAGAAGTCACAGGAAAAAATTAAGGAGCATAGAGAGATGTACTTCATTAGGATGTTCTCACAGTTTTATCTGTCAAAAGGAATATCTACATGCAGTTTGGTTACAGTATTTAAATATTGTTTTGTAAGAACACTCCGTATAGTTAAGGGTTTTTAAATTTAATTTTTAAAAAAAGCAAAAAAAAAATAACTGTAGTTGTGACAAGAACCAATAGCAAGATGCTGTAGTTAGGGAAAAAATAAAACAACAATCCTGGAAATAAACATTTGGATTTAGTAGTGATTTTAATGGGCATTTAACTGTTAGAATAAACTACCAAAATAAATGAAAAATTCTACATTTCTATATTTTTTCCAGATACCTTTTAGGAATATTTGTTTTAATCAAATGCAAGTTACTGACTTTTGTAAAGGCATAAACAAGAGAAAGTGTAATGGTCTAAGTTAGAATGTTTTATGGTACATGAGATGTCAGACAAAATAATCCAATGATGCCTTCTGGTTTTATGCTGTGATTATTGCCCACACAATTTGCATCCTGCACATTGAAGTGTCTTGACAAGAGATGTCAGTTCCTGTAACTGTCGTGCAAGAATTAAAAACTTCATTATGTTTGTTCTTTTTTTATTTGCCTGTGGAAAAAGACAGAAGGTGCTGCGAGTCATGGAGGGACTTGAGAGGGTCAGAAGCTTAGCTGGATTCCAAAGGAAGATAGGAAGTCTTCTCTCATTTCTCTATGAAGGCAGAAGTTGGGGAAGAGAAGAAATTAGTGAGGGGAAAAGATGACAGATGGGATGGAGGTGGGGAGCAGTGACACCAACCTGAAAAGATTTGTGATTGCTACACTAGGCAATAGATGAAACTTTGGAGCTATTTTTCTTCAGTCTCATTTACATGCTGAAACCTGAGGTAAGGGTCAGTGCATAGTCTAGCAAGGAATAATATGAAAATGTTTTCTGAAAACCTGGACCAGATCTCTATAAAGAGCACCTTCAGAATAAATTTGTTATGTAGTTATCTTATTTGTATTGAAGAGAGCTTTTTTTTTTTTGTTTTCTGGGCTTTTTTTTTTGGGGGGGGGTTTGGGTGAATTTGATTTTTTTTTTTGTTTCTTTTTTGATTTTTGTCTGTGTGTACTGTTTATTTGTCATTTGATTTGTTTGGTTTTTATTCTGTTTGTGGTGTTTTTTTTTCATTTTTGCCTCCTGTAGGCAAGTCTGCTTTTGCTTTTGTAGATATACAGGATTGCTCCTGAGTTGGAGAGAATGGTCTTCTCTCTGCTCTGCATGGATCAGAGCAGCTGAGAACCTATTCAGCACACCTTTGCAGAGTTGCCACAATATGTGCATACCAACAACATCCTTAGCTAAATGCCTGTTTCACAATTCAATTTTTAGGGGTAAAATTTCAAGAAATAAATGTGAATACTGCCTCTCACTGCTTCTTTGGTCTGTGATCTATAAATAAAAAGAACTTTAACCTTTTGTAAGCTCAATGATAACTTATTTGTTGGAGCAGCAATGTGTCAGCCCCTAGCTGATTCAGAAATGACAACTAAGGAGCAAGCAGACTATGCTTCATGTAAAATCCAATTGTAGTGCCATCATTATAAGGAAGATTTGAGAGCTCTGCTGTCTTTTCAGTAGCTATCACTGCCTCTGTCAAGGGCTTCATCTGAATTCAGAACATATAACTTTATTTCCTTATAATGTCTAATGATGATTCATGGTTTTTGCTTTCTACTGTCTTCGATTCCAACAATGCATGTTTTTATACCTGCTGTCTTAAACCCCTCTATTCACTGTTCAGGACAACTTCTAAAGCAAGCACACTCAGCCTTCCAAAGGGAATTCAATAGCTCCTGAGGATTGTTCCTTTTTTTAATACTGTTCCATGCTGTTTCAGCTATTCTGCCATTTTCAAGATTATAATTACTATTGTCATTGCTGGCACTAGACATCTACTTGGAGAGTATTCCAGAGAGAAGTGAGCTGCACCTCCTCACTCCTCTGAGTCCAGAAGGACAGATCCTTCTCATCTCTGCTGGTCCCAAAGGCAGGAGGCTTCTGGCTGTTCTTTAACCCTGACCTCTTGCCTTGCAGTAGATAAAGCTGAAGTCAAGTCACTGAGCTAACAGTTTATAAAATGTATTACCTTCTATTACCAAATTTTAAAAGCCTGAAGCAACTTTCTGAATTTTAGCACTGATGTTAGTTTTTGTTGTAACTTTTTTTTTTTTTAACTGTAGCTACTGATGGTTATTTCAAGTGACTTAACACGTTTATTTTTATAAAGGCAGCTGGTACTATCTGCTTTCTCTGTCTCTCTCTTCCAGAGCAGTGAGTTAGTGCTTACTTTTAACTGTGTTGGCTTTTACTGAAATTATTTAAGACCCTCTCTCCTTTTTAATTTTGAAACTACTGGGATGACACATCTAATATAGTCTCTTTACCTTTCTGAAAATAAGTTTATTATTCTAAGGCTGTGGCTTTGATTTTATTTCAAGCTGTTGCTGCTTTCCTCTGATAGAGAAAACCCACACTGATGCCACATTGTTTGGAAAAAATGGCAAAAATGCCTACAGAAGGATGCTCAGAAGAAGGAGAGCTACATAAATGACACATCTGACATTGTACTGAGAGACTGGCTATGCCTTGTGCATACAAGGTGCACACCGACGGATACAAAGGGGAAAAAAAGAGGGTATGCTTTGGGGGAAAACCAGTTAACTGAATGAATTTTGTTCCACTGATTTGTAGGGATGAATTGATTACATATTCCTTCACAAGCTAGGTCTTTGTAGGAATACCCTGTGCTGGCACCATGCGATGACAGAACTGCTGCAGACTTGAAAGGACCTTCAGCGCTTTTTATTGCATGGTTAACAAGAACAGACAAGTTTCCTGCCCAGTCCCAAGAAATAGGCTACTACTTCAAAACCTTTCTCTGCAACTACACAGGAGCAGGGAGGATCTTCTTTGGTCTAGACCCGCTGAACTAGTGTAGCTCACCAAGGAGCAAGAATGAGCACCACAGGAGTTTAACAGTCTCACCAGGCTGCAGCAGATCCATTTATTTTTAGACTTCCGTGGCACAGCTGGAGCTGACAACTCCAGGAGTAGTAGTTCTGTCCAAGAAAAGTAGTGAGAGTGGTGTTCACAACCCATGCTCTGAAAGCCATTAATAATAAAAAAAAATAGAGCACTGTAGGAAAAAAAATATTATTTAAGGGATTCTTTCAGGATGGCTTGTGTACTGTCAGATTGGATGCAGAGTAAAATGTGTGAGCAAGTTTCACTAACAAGGTATAAAATGTTCAGAATGTCATGAGAGTAATATCTAACCCACCATTTCCAAGGGGGGCTGAAGTAAGAGAAAAACAAAATGCAGATGTGCCTTTCCAATTTCTTTTTGCTGTGTTAAGAGTCCCTGTGGTATTTTAAAGTGCGTTTTCTGCATATTTTTGCATTAAAAATATTAGGTTATCACATCCTTGTGCATGCTTAAAGACGAACAATTTAGGAGACTTCACAGGAGACTGAAATTTTTGTACTCTTAATAAATCATCTGGGAGGGAAAAAGAACTCTTTCTGTGTGAAAGAAAAAAGATCTTTATACTTTCATAAAAGGGAGAGGCGGTTCTCAGTCTTCTTACCTATGAGATCCTAAATAAAACTGAGACTGCTATATCTCAAAGTTAAAACGATCATTCAAACCACTTCATTTTAATTGGGAAAGCTACAGCTTTTTGCTGCATCTCCACAATCAGGCATAATATTACTTTCCTTGATTTTATCTTTTTAGCAATTTTCCTTTTTTACTTTTCTCCCTTATACCACTATCAAGTATTGTATGAACACACTATAGAATAGAATTTGAAAATGACCATAAATATTCACATAAACATGTGAAAAAACAATAACAGAGATTCTAATTCAAATCACAGGCTAATTCTCCTTATCATGACTCTAATCCTGCTCTGTAAAATCTTCTTCATTAATGTTGTTAGAAAGTAAAAAGGCTTCTCTACAGGTTTTGCCTGCTGTATTCAGTTCTCTTATACACAGTAGTTAAGATGTGACCAATGTGTTAATGCAATAAAAAATTGTCAACATTTTAATTTTCATGGGACTTGTGGAATAAAGGGAATGTGTGAAACTGGAGACTGAGGCTACTGATTTCATAATTTCTGACTAGTAACAGATAAACTCCTAGTTTGCTGCGGCATACAAAACACAGAAATATCATTGAAACACAATGTTAGATTGATATGTATTCTTTGTAGTCTCTGATAAGAAGATATAAGATGAAAAAAATTAAGTTAGTTTTAAAAAATACATTAATAAAGAAACATAGTGATACCAAAGACATCTTAGAAATTAACTTAATATTTTCCTAAATTATATTTTTCAAGATAATTTCAACTCATATATCTAAAATACCCTTTTCTTTCTTAAACACTTAAACCTTTACAAACTACAAAATGTTATTATAATATAATTACATTTTAAAAGCAGTGCCCAAAACCTGTCTAATTTGTGGTTTGGTGTTCCTCCTCTTCTTGTTTTGAAACCAAGAAAGGAGGATTATGGGTGGATAAAAGAAAAGTGGAAGTATATGGAAGAAGATTTCATTGTGGTGAACTAATGTCAAAAACTATATTTTTCAGAAACACTAATTTTGCATGAAGGCCTTGCTAAAAGATTAAGAATCTTTTAGTATTCCTGATGTTTCATGCTTGTAATGAGCTGCAGCTGTTTTCCCACTGTAGCTTGTGTATTCTGTACTCCTGTAAAATGAAAATAAGAGAAACAAAATGTATTTTAATGCATATGTCTCTAATTGTTTTTCTTTTATAGAGCTTTTTCTAGCTCATTGCTGTTACTGTCGTGTTTTACCACTTCTCATGATTAAGAAAGAAGTCTACTACAGCATTTGCTACCAGTATAGACTCTTCTCCCAGTTTGCCAGGAAAGAATATGCTATATACTTGTCTTTATGTGTCTGTTTCCGACAAATGCAAATTTATGTCCTTGAAACCGAAGTTTAAAAAAAAAACAAACCCCAAAAATAGTGGGGTTTCCTTCTTAACCTTACATCTGTAGGTTCTGTTATTTTTCTTGGCTTTTCTAGATATTAATTCCAAAGGCAATATTACCTTGCTGAGAAAGCACAGCAGTCACCCTTGAGGTAAATTGGCTTCTACATCCACAGGAAGCAAGCAAGAAAAAATAAGATTCTCAAGAAAACCAGTGAGATGATCAAAAGAAAACTACTTACACGGTGAGCTTAAACAAAGCCTAACAAATCAAGTTTCAGCATCAGTACAAAGTAATGAAACCAACATTCTGGTAGCACAGTAGTGTTTTAATCAAGGTGTGCATGGAAGCAGGTATTTTGGCCCAACAACAGCCATCAAGGTTTTCAGATTCATAGAAGAGAAAAAGTTGATTAGCAGAGAAAGAGAGGGAGGAAAGAAGAGACAGAGGAAGAGACAGAGATCCCTGCTGTTATCAGTTTACTGACTTCTTCCAGATCATCCAGGTGATGTGTGATGCTTCATGCTGCCTTAAACCTGCAAATGTTATTGTTGTTATAAAATGAGTGGCTTCTTAGAGTTTAATCTTTCTATGTTCAATCTAAACTTGGTGATACTGTAGCTTCCTTGGACAAACCATGGTGTTTGCAAACATTTTGAAGCCAAGAAAGAACACAGCTGATTATGTTTCAACAGAGGCAAATTGGAGGACTTTGAGTAACAGCAGCATTGAAGGACCAAGAGCAATAAGTAAATGGAGTCAAGGGGAAGTTTATAAATTTTCTTTAGACTTCTGTCTTCCATATACTATCTAAAGTGCACATTGATCTATGTTGTATGGAAAACTGATTCTATATTTTACAGAGAATATAGAACTAAGTCTGTGAAAAGAAGTTTCTTTCATTTTTTCAGTATGCTTAGTTAATCTTCGTTACAGCTAGCAATAGTAAGGAAAGACAAGGTGGTGCTGAGCTTTGGAGCAGATAAAGAAAAAAGTGCACTATCTCTTTCCAATAATTTAATTGCCTTTTCAAATATATCCTTGTGTATCCTGTTGTTTTGCATATGCCTGAACTTCCAAAATAGGCACAAATATGATTTGTTGAAACCAGTGATGTGTACTTTTCTCAATAGTGTACTTGACTGGAAAATATGTCTCTGAAAAGGGGACTCTACTTTTTCCCCTACAAAAAACCCCATCAGTCAGATCAATTTCTCTTTATTTCCATCTAGTACATAATGTAGTTGTTGGCCAAAATGAGTCAAAATTATAATTTCAGAGTATAAGTTCATTAAAATATGTGGAAGTAAAGAACCCAGACTGTAAATGGACCTAAATGATGTATAAAAAAATTCCCATAATCTCTTCAGCTTTTGAGATTGTATGAATACCACAGGTGTTTAAATGGCAAACACATTGCTGAGATTTCTGGGGTTTTTTTTCTTTGTAGTCAGCATATTATCAGTCAGAGCTTCCATGTCAGCCACCTTGGGAAGGAAGCAGCAGCAGATACACTGAAAAGACCCTTCTTTCTGGTAAGAAAAACTTTAGATCTACTACTATTCCCTGCCATAAATTTTCTCTCTGGCTCTTCAGAGACAGCAGAGTTGGAATAAGAAAGGTACGCAGTTGTGTTTGTGGCAGCACCTGAGAAAGCACAGTATGAGTGAAATAAATAAATTAGTAAATAAACATTAAAAGAAAAAAAAGCCATTATTTGAAGAGAAATACAAACAGAGTATTAAAGCTGTCATTAGAAGACACCAGATATATCTGACAAAATAAGGACTTGTGTTAACAACCTCTTTTGGAGACCAGATGCTAGGAATAGATGGATCACTGTCTCATCCAGTGTAACATTTCCTCTGTTCCTTTTTTAAATGCTATTTTTAAAACTAAGATAAACTGTATTTAAATGCAGGAAGTAGACCATGGAAAAACAGTCTGTTATAAGAGATTAACAAATTTCCTTTATGTTGTTTTTTTTTGGTAAATATGTTGTTTCCTGTTCAAGAAGGGTTCTTTTGGTGACCAAAATGCATTTAATCCCTTCCAAGCTGAATCTCGACTCTGCTTTAGTAACTTTAAAAACTGTAATTTATTATGATTTGTTGATGTCATCAGGACATTTTTGATAAAGGAGGAATAATTTTGTCAAATAAATTAAATAAGAAATGTGCTTTCCCTCAAGATGTAGGCTTATGCTACTGCTGTACTTCTGCTTGCTTCAGATAGTCTATGTTTTCTATTTCAGTCTAAAGGTGCGTTTACTACTACCATGGCTGCACAGGTTTTTGGACAGGCATAGCAATCAAATTTCTTTTAGCTCCTCTGCAGGCAACGTCAGAAGAAAAATACTGGGCACTGAGGGTACTATAACTTGTTTGCATTTTGTCTATGTTGAGATACTTGTAATTGAATCAAAGGTGACATTGACTATTATGCATCTTGATTTAAGATTCAGGTTATTGGTCAATTTATGATTCTTTTCAAGGGGAGCTCTTTAATGAAGTCACAATTAAAATCCAACTTCTTTTGTAAGTCAGTGGGAATTACATACCCAAATGTCTTCTGTGCCTTTGAAAATCTCTTCATAAGTTTATAAATTTGATCACAACAGTCTCTTCTGGCCCTCTAATCTATGAATCTCCTAAACTTCTTATCATGGGAATTAAACTAATTTTCAGCTCATAGATTGGTTATGCTGAGATCCACTTCATTTACTTACTGATGGGATTTATTTTTCCCTGTTTTATGCTGAAGGAAATATAAAACCCTCTTATAATTCATAGTAGTTGTTGCTGAATTTATTTGTTTGCCAGTTTATTTTGGGAGGTAGATGACCATTTCTATATGTGTTGTTTAAAGCAAACAACATGGTTTAAAATAAATAGTTAGAGTTTTTATTATGTGTTTTTAATATTATTTCAACATTTAATCAGCAAAAAGAGAAAGTAAGCACACTACTGGGCTGGAAGAGAAACCTCACTTTGATTTTCCTTCCCCAGTGATGCATGGATGAGAAGACATTATGGATTCATATACGATTTCTATATCCCAGGAGAACTGCAAAGTGACTTTCTTCTTTCTCTGTAAGTCTTTCTCATGGAACAACAATGTGAGACAAAGAATGGGTAACTAAAAATTTTTATGTATCTCTCTTCCTTTGTCCTTTAAAAGAACCTTGAAAAATATTAGGTATTTTCCTATAAGCTTAGGGTCCCCATGAAGAATGAATCTTGCTTCTCAATGTAACAGAAAACTGTTTTCCAACAGCATGTGTTGGACTAACAAAACTAATCCCTGAAAACCCTGCAATTCACGTATGTTCAGCTCACCCCCATTGTTGCAATATTACAAGACATGGTGATGAAAAGAAGTTGGATGTATCTGAAATATAAACAGTTGCTTATTTTTTTTTTTAATTCCTAACTCTACTTCCTCCTAACCCCTCTTACTTTGAACATTTGTACATCATGAGAATAATTCTGAGATGCCTGTGAGTTCACCCATTTAGTGAGATTACCATCCTCTTATTGATAATAATTTCTTGTTCCAAATTAATCTTTGCAGGAATCTTTAAAATTCACAAGAATGTATTTTTACTGATTAAAAAAAAACAAAACTGTTTCCCTGTAAATATAAACATCAGTAAGTCCATTAGAAGATATTTCACTGTTTTCAGAATTTCACTGTTATAAAAATTTCAGTGTAAACTCCTGTACATCTTGTTTGTCAACTGCATATTTTTATAATATATTGAAAGCCAACGGGACTGACAAAAGGTAGACAGTTTTCTTTAGCATCAGTCATAATAATCATGGGACCAAAATCTAGACTAGCCTTCATTCTGCTCTGCCTAGAAAGATCTGGCAACATTCTTAGTTCCAGCTTCTTGGGAAGGCACTATGGGTCCAATTCATTTGCCTAAACAAATCCCTATAGGGCCAGCTGAAACACCTTATAGTGCCTTGCTTGCCCTCCAGCAGGCACAGACTTTGAGTGTCATGTATTCTGCCTTTGCATGAGCTCTCAGACATTCTGGTTGTTTCAGTGAAACCAAACACCTGTGTGTCAGCAGCTGAAATAGGGATTTTGTTCCAGGCTGTGTCTAAGGCTACTCAGCCTGCCTAGTAGCTCGGTATTCATCTCTCATCACGGAAATTATTCAGTACAGTCAGTGGAGAACAAGTAATCTCATGCTAAAGTTGTCACCTACAATTCCACTCACCATGTTAAAAGTCTGAGAAATCAGGAAAATAGAGAAAGATGATTTGGAGGCAGGTAGAAACAAAATTTTTTTTTAAGTAAAAAAGATAGAAAAAATATTATAAATTAATTTCCATGAAAATTAAAATTGAGGCCTGCTAGTATGTCTTCCTTCAGATCTTCAATTTCCTGTTTTTTTTAGCTGAAGCATTGCTACTTAAAGGAAGCCTGGTTAAATGACAAGTTCACAGAATCTTAGAATGCTTAAGTCATGTTAGAAAAAGTATATAAAAATTCAATTGTTTTTCATCTTCCCCATCACTTATATATGTAACTCCCAAGTAAAGAATTGCTTTGGGTAAAATTCAGTGGCCTTAACACATGCACGTGGTTCTGTTTCAGGTTTTCTGTATCTCATACATTCATGTGGGGCTGACAGATCTGACACAGTGGGGTTCAGCCTTTGTTCTGGAGTGACAGATGATCTGGTGCATTGTGAAAGCATGCCAAAAGTGATATTGTTTGACCCCAGTTAGGCAACCAAATCACACCTTTTTAGGATGGAGATAATGTGTGAAGTCAGGAGAAAAACTTTCCACGAAAGAGGATTTTTTTTCATAACCCTGTGGTTATGATAGCTGCAAAATATTAATGATAACCTCTTGTCAGAGGTCTGGAAGACTGTAATTGATATGGAACTTTTCCTCTTCCAAATATTAGCAACACAAGATATTTTGCTGACTTTTAAGAAAGTTGAAGAAGGACATACATGCCAGTCTTAAGAATATCTGTTACCTGTGAAAGACATAATTGAGATTTATTAAGATCCTTGTGTACTCACAAAAGATGTGCTATAAACTCTGCTTGCATGACAAAAGCAATCATGTTTACCTGCAGAAAAATATAGTGGCATCTGTATTGGTTCAAGTTTGATTAGTTGTCTTAGGAAGTTTTCTATTTCAAAAATTTTCCTGTGGTAAAACAGTTGCTAGTAAAATCACATCATTATTTAAGCAGAACTATCTTTTTGATCATTTGAACACTAATTAAACTCACTACTTGAATTATTCATAAAACTTTCTTAAGAAATGGCACGCTTAAGAATGACTGCCCATGAACGTAATTGTTTTTGTGAATTGTTCCACTTTTTTGCATGACAGCTTGGGAAAAGGAATTCATGCTACCACAGCACAATTTATTTTGCTTTGATATGATAGGAGTTTGACCATGATTTTGCTTATATGAAGTGACATTCGATTCAGTCTGCCCTGAAATGGTCCAGCAGCACTCCAGTTAAAAGTTAATATATATGACAATTTCAAGTGGATTGCTTGATACTAGTAAGTATTTTGTCGTACTAGAACTTATCCTGATGGAAAAGCTGGGAAATGTGTCACAATAAGAACAATGCTGAAGTAGATTGTTTGCTTCTTTAAAAAGTAAAGTCAAAGAGGCATCACATTGCTGTCTGCCAATAAGCTATGCATTTCTTTTAAGGAATTACTCTGCTAATAAAATGGCAATCAGTTCTGAGAATTAATTTCAACATAGGCATTAGGAATTCCTAGAAACCTTTTAAAGTTCTGAGGAAAACATCACTGAGGCAACTACCAAAGAAGTATACTGCAGTGGTTAGGATGGCATCAAATAAAAGAGAGGGTGAAAAGAGAAAACACACGAACTTTCAGTACAGAATTGTGATGCTGAGAACAAAATTAATCAAGACACCAAAGGACGATGAGAGAAGAAATTCTTTAATCTTTAATTGCCTATACACCAATGATAGGAGCTTGGGTAATAAACAAGCATAATTGGAATTGCTTATTTATGAGCATAAACAAAACCTCGTTGGTATAACAGAAACCTGAGGGGATGGTTCACATGACTGGAATTTTAAAATCACCATTTATGCATCTTTTAGGAAATATCATTTAGGCAAAATAGTAAGGGGAGGAGCACTTTTTCTTATAAAACCCCAAAAGGCAGTTCTATCATTTTTTGAGTTAGAAATAACTTTGGGAGGGAAAAAAAGGGAAGAACGGTATCCAGTGTTTATATTAGAAAAATTGGGAAAAAGTAGCATCTACAAATCCATGCTCCTCGTCAGTTATGCAGAGAGAGCAAATTTACAAACTCCAGATTGTCAAATCACACTGTAAAATGTATAGCTGGATCCTTAACTACTTATAAAATTCAGGAAAAATTAAAAATCTGAAATGGTTCTCTGTGGTCTGGTTAGTTCATACTTCATGGCATAAAGCAGAAACCAAGACTAGCATTGATAAAATACCTCTGCAATTTATTGTTATTATGTAAGTCAATTCTCAAATGTCCTCTCAAAAAAGTCTTGATGATAAAAAAGAAAGGAATCAGGGAAGTGCCACTGGGCTGAATAAACATAGCTAAAGGCCACTGCAAAGCGAAAAGCTCCTGATAATAAGGTTATTTATCTTACAAAGTGAAAGATTAAGAATGACTCTATGATGGTTTATTAAAAAAATTTAAAAAAAGACATTAAAAGACAGTTTATCAACACATAAGGAGAGTTTATGTTCCAGTGTTCAGTGCTTGTTTTGGGTGAAATATATTTAATCTACACTGTGTGTAAGTAGTTCCTGGAAGATCATAGCACAGATCCCTCTGCTACCAGCTAAGAAATTGTGAATCTAGATTTTTTTTGCCAATGGAAGGAAGACTGTGACCCCAGATGTGGAGCAGCTGGGAAACTACTGTATTACATTTCATGCACTTTGTTGTGGTGCCATGACAACATTGGTCTTTGCTGTCTTTGTTTTGTAATTTTTCTCTCTTTGTCAGAAGCATTTCTCTTAGAATAGCAAATCACACCAAATGCTATTGAGTATTGGCTGCATAATGAATAATTTTAACTAGGGTACAAAGAAATGGGTGTGATGTAGTTTGATAAGGAAGATAGTAAAGTCCTCACCCATTTGCTTGAATATTAGGTTACAAATTCTATCGGTTAGCATTATCTATGTTATATAGAATTCATACTTTTTGTATATGAGGCAAAATTTTTGTCACCTGCTGTAAATTTTAGAGTGACAAGAGGGTAATAAGACAAAGTGCCAAGCTGTTTGAAAATCAAATTGCTTTATGTTGTGTAAAGAGCCTGCAAACCGTTACTGCTCAAAGACTTTCATGAGTTTAAACCAATTGTGTCCTTAAGCTGTAGTATTTCAATACCAGAGCCTCAATTCAGGGTGACTAAGCACATCTGGGTTGTACATTTATTAACACAATAAAATTTCTTCTAGGTTATATTATGGTTGGAAAAAAAATTTCTGCAGTCTTTTCTTTAAAAAGAAAACTCTTGAGATATTTCTCATTATTTAAATTATTTTTTGTCCCTTCTCCTGTGATTATAAAAGCTACTGGGTATATAAAATGATAATGGTAGTGTAGTAAAAGGGATTGTAACTCCTGAGAACTGCTCATATATATTAGAAATAATATGAAATGTAATAAAGAATAATTAGCAACTAGACATGAAGGTTCTGTTTGATTGATCTGATAACCTAGCTATAGACATAAGGAAATGTGTCTCAGTATCTGAATATATGTGGGAGAAAGAAAACCTCCTAAACCTAAAAAAGTTTAATTCTAAATGATTTTAAAATTTAGCACATATTAAGATAAAATCTTAATCATACAGTTTTTTAACAAAACATTAATTCTAGATCCTCTAGATGTGACTCTTACATTTGACCAGTGTAAAATTCCTTTATTTACCCAAATTATTTCATTGTGTCTAATTGAGGTTCCTTCCTGGGTGTGATGTCAGACCGCAGATTACAGGAAAGCTGGTGCATCACAAAGTGAGTACATTATTCTGCTTTCCAAGTGGCCTGTGCTGCACAGA